AAATTATTTTAATATAAATATAATTTAAAATTAATTAATTAATCATGTTTTCTTTAAATATTAAAAATTAAATTTAATATTTATAACTATTAAATTTAAATATTAAGTATATTATCCATAGAAAACTAATATTCCAAGGTATGTTGGAAGTGCTTAAACCAGACAACTCAAAAATATGATGTAACAACTGAAGTAAGTTTGGTCTCATAAGAAAGCAAAGACTAGGGAAAAAGAGTAGTTAAAATGTTAAAAGAAAACTCACATTCAAAAAATAAATGTGACACCATTTTAGAAGCAACCGAGTAAAGGTAGCAAAAGGCATTAACAATAATGTTGTGTTTAATAAGAACATCCAGTCTTCAGACCTCCCAGCATAGAGAGCCAAGCAAAGGCAGAATATCTAATAGCATGACGTTTGTGCCATATCATTTTGAACCAAGGGACTTACTAATGAGAAGCATAATAATCATCTGAAAACAAATTATGTTGAGGGTTCAACATACCATGCCAAGCAATGCATGGGGTGGGGAGATTGAATTAGGATGTCAGCATTAGTATTGTGGAAACTAAAAGGAAGAGAATGGGGGAGAGACCAACACAAGTTACTAAATAAAATAGAAAAGGGGGCAATAAGGGGAAAGGTAATGAACATGGGCGATATGTTCAGAATAGAGAAATAGTGCAAGATGGAGAGATAGAGAATAAAAAATTCTACTAGTTTAAAACAACAACAAAATGCAAAAATTTCCAAAAAAGAGAGGCTTTAGAGGTGGGAGGCTTTCAAGGAGAAATGTATGTAGTTTTGCACTAGTTTGCCAAAAGACTGTCCGAGAGATAAAAATCATCAAATTAAAGAAAATCAATAAGCATTCTGAAGACCATGAATGCTATGAATCATGAGACCACCAAATCTTTTAGGTATACAAGCGTTATTCCATGAGATAATGTCATTTTCTTTACTTTGGAGCCCCCATGATAGATAAACCTTGAGCAAAATTTGTCAATAAATTTTATACAGCCTTTAGGGATAATGGAACCTTGTATCCAATAGGAAGTGGTATTGTAAATGGAGAACTTCACATATTGAATACTATTGGTGAAAGAGAGTAGTTTTTCCTTCCAGACATCAAAGAGAGAGGTAACCTGATGCATCAAGGGTTAAAATTTAAAAATGTGATTTCTCTTTTGGGATATTGAGAGGCCAAGATACTTAATGGCATTGCCACATGTGTTCAAATTGAGAACAACACAAATATCTTGAGGATTGGCAGTGTGAGGAGATATAATAATAAAGCTTTTTGTTGTGTTGACATGAAGACCAGTATTAGAAGCAAAGAAGCTTAAAATGTTATTGAGGGTAGTAGCATTTTGTGTATTAGCTTCACCAAACGCAAGAGCATCATTGTCATACAACATATGAGTGATCTAAAACCCTTCCACATTAATGTCAATGAAAGATTGGTCACTAACAGCTTGCTCAAATAGGCTAGATAACAAATCCATAATAATGTAGAATAAGTAGGGGGGATAAGGGGCATCCTGGCCTCAACCCATTAGAGGAATTGAAAAAACTTTTCAATGAACTATTGATACAAATAGAAAAATGCACTTCATTAATACAAGACTTGATCCAAGATAAGAAGATGTCAGGAAAGCCCAATTGTTGCATTCTCAGCAGTAACAAGTCCCTGGAAATCATATCAAAAGATTTTAAAATGTCCAATTTCACACAAAAGGAGTTTCTTTTTCAAAACATGATTGAACTCTAAAAAGCTCACAAGCTAAGAGAATATTATCAGTAAAAAACATTCCATGTATAAACCCAACTTGGCTAGGATGCATAATATGTGACATGATAGGTTTAAGACAAGTGGAAAGAATTTTGGCAATCACTTTTGAAAAAGTGTTGCAAAGGGAGATTGGACTTAAATAAAAAATGTTTCTAGCATAGGGATTTTTTTGAATAAGGGCTATGAAAATTTCTTTGATAAACCTAGGAGGCCATATCAAAGAAGTATTCAATAGCTTTATGAATGTGAGGACCAATGATCGCCCAGGAGCTTTTGTTGAACTCAAAAGTAAAATCATCAGAGCCAAGGTTTGAAGGGTATGGGATAGAAAATATAACAACTTTAATGTTCTCATCAGTAATAGGTGCAGTAAGGGATGGGGTGAGGTGGCTTGGAAGACTCTTGCCAGCATGGATGTGGGAGATAGGTTCTTGCAAATCGTGTTATTAAATAGTTTGAAAATGTTGAATGATATCATTGATT